CCCTACCATTCACCCGTTCTTGGATCACGCTGACTCATAACCTTTCCAGGCTGCCCGTACCCTCGCCCTCCAGGCCGCGTACCGCAAGGCCGAAGCCAACATAAAACGCGACGACGCACCTTCAGCGGGCGAGATAAGGCGATTGGGTGTCTTGGATGCGCCGCTTGAGGAGAAGAACCTCAAGGCGAGCAAGTGGTTCCCGCACAAGGAGATTAACTAGACTGCGTTATGGTCTGAGGGAACACGGATGGTTGAGAAGAGGGGAAATAGGGATACCGTAGCATATATATTTGCATGGGTAGCTGGAAGAATGACAATGAGAAGAGATTAAGCTATCTTTCGTTTTGATACATGTCCACGCGCATTCTGCTATTGGTTGAGAGACGCTCGTCTGAGTGTTTTCACATCTGACCTTCTCTTCGTCCCCAGGCACACATCAGAACCAAGTCGCACCCAAAGTTACAAATATACTTTCATTTCTCTAGTACTACTGATGTACTCCTGATTTCCACACCTCTGCGATCCGAATACCACATGCTATCCATTCTCTGAATAATGCAAAACTGAAAAGACTGAGCGGGCAATCATCATCATCATAACGCTTCCCATATCCAGTCAATGCTACGACCTATAAACGCCATAGCGGAGTGAATCGACCGATCGACATGATACCTATGCGACGGAAAAAGAATACAGTGAATAAAACAACAAACCTGGGACTCCATGCTGATAGACGCATCCTCGCAAACACCTTAATTCAACAGCAGTATAAGAGAGCCGTCATAAAACCATCCATGATGAACGTTCCTTCTTCGTAGTAAGCATTGCCATGGAAACCATAAGGACACGAGCTCGGCGACATAGAAATGTTGGCTAGCGTAGAAGCTGCTGTCGTAAGATATATCCGCATAGTCTCAGTGGTCGGAAGCGTGGATCTTGTACCATAGCGCGACACAGGAGTGCTTAGATCTCCTCGTGGGCTCCGTTGATAAATTCTACATGTTCGCAGGAACACTTGTGCGACTCAGATGAGGAGGCGGTGTAGCCGTAGCCCGACTACCAATGCTGCCGAGGCCGTGGGCTTGTGCCATGCTGCGGTGGAAGGAGCCAATTTTCTGGAAACCCCTGCTGTTTGTTAGTATACTACATTCTATCCATGATAGATACGACACTGTGACTTACTTTGAAAGATCGTAGCTCTCCTCTTCAGGCTCGGCTTCTTCCTCGAAGCTTGTCAAGCTAGCACCACGTACCATTCCTCCGTTGCCGACAATACCCAATCCAAGTCCGTTGACATTGCTGTTTGATCGCGAGCGTTGATGCTGACTTCCAAGATCCCGGCGACTAACAGGTCGAGAGACGGTACGGCTTGGACTTTCCGGACCAACATCCTCATCTTCGTCGGCTTTATCATCACCGTCTTGGTCTCGGTCTTCCTCATCTTCAGGCTCCGCGCTATTGTCTGGCAGCATGGGCGGTGAACTTGGATGGTCCTCGTCATCGCCGTCCTTGAAGTCTGGACGCTGCAGCTTGATAGGACTCAACTCGAGGGGTGCTTTGGCGGGTGTGCTGGGGAGGTCGACGAACTTCCAGAAAGGTGCAGGGCTGGAGAATGCCATGTACTGGCTAGGCATCTGGGCAGTACTGGGAGGTGCGAGACGAGGCGCATGGCGAGATACAAGTGGCGTTACAAGCGCGTTGTTCATTCGACCAGCATCGTAACCACCGCTCATATGATGCGATCCGGCATCCGAGTACAAAGTCGGCGGTGAGTTTCCCACGTCAGTCTTCATACCGGGAACACTTTGTTTGACAGGGTCTACACCAGGTGAGGATTCCAGGTTGCGATCATCTTGCTTGATATGGGGAAGACCTTGGCTTTCATTGGCACCATACATGAGACGCTTCGCCGGAGTAACGAACCGATCCTGGTCGCGTATAGTCGGTGACTGTTTGAAGCCTCCAAACGGACGTGGGCCGCGATCTGGAGTGTACGATTCGTTTGCCATAGGAACGGACGATAGCGGAGGCGTAGCAGATCGTGGAGGCGACTTCACACGGGCAGAGTATTGACTACTGCGAGTATCACACTCCAGGGCACCAACGAGCCGCTCGGTGGCCTGGGACGGATTCCCTACAGCGGGTGAACTAGGCCCGGAGCCTTCTATGCGGTATCCAATCTGAACTCCACCTCCCTTACGAGGATTGAGCAGCTGCTTCTTGATGAACTCTTCCTTTTCGGAATCCGCGATCTTCCATTTCATGCCCTTGCCAGGCTCATCGGTACGGCGTGCAACCTTGGCGAACGACTTGTTGAGAGACAAGTTGTGCCGGATGCTGTTCTGCCAGCCGCTGTTTGTGTACCGGAAGAAGGCATACCGAGCTTTGATGTAGTCGTATATGTTCGCAAGTGTGAGCATCTCTTCCTCGCTGCTAAGGATCGCTTGGCCGATGAGCTGTGCATAGCTGTGAGGCGGCTTGACATCTTTATTAGCGTCTAAGCTATAGTCGGTATTGTCTCCAGTCTCCAACACGACTGCGCGAGAGAAGGTAGCAGGCGAGCCCTTGCCGCGCGGGTCTTTCTCGCCCCGGAAAGTCATCGGCGTGCCAGGTTGTGGGTAGCCTGGTGTGGATGTCATTTGGTTGTAGTATGCTTGTGAGGATTGGTGCTTGTTGCGGGGGTGTGAAGACGGTGGGAACGGGTCGTAATGATCGCGCTTGGGTGTAGGTCCGCTAGGATGGGCATGCTGATGCGACTTGGGCGGCGGGTTGCCATCGTTGTCAGACTCAGCAGCATCCTCGCTCTTGACTTGACGCCACAACATGGGATGGAAGTGGTCTTCTTGATTGGCAAGCAGGAACAACATCTGCGTGCTCATGATGCTGATGCAGATACCCGAGTGCAGAGGCGCCTTGTCTCCCCTGGTCAGATGGCGGTCGTCCAGCTTGAGGCCGTTACGGCTGTTGACAGTGATGTACCACTGCTGATCATCAATCTCGAAGTTGATCTCGGCGTGGACGCGGGAGATCTGGCGCTCAGGGCCAAGATCGATGTGCACGCCCCAGTCCTGGCGATGAGGCTCACTGGTAGGCAGTCCAGCGATATCAGGCTGTGAGCCCTGCTGGTTGTTGCGTTCTCTCGAGTCTACACGACCGATTCTAACTTGCGTGTCCTGAACAAAGAAGCACCAGTCGCGCGCAGCAATCTTGGCAAAGGCCGCGATGTTCTTACCCTCATTGCGCTGAGACTGTAGGTCGTTGGCATAATCGATGGCGGCGTTGGGCACATAGCTGGGCACGCGGAGGGCAGCGATGACAAGGTTCTGGCGCTCGATGGGATCCATAGTGTCTGCGTCTCCGCCGTTGGGCAGTGTCGTGTTGGAGTCGTTACTAGCGACGGATTCGGTGATGCGTGTACGGGGAGGGTCTGTGGCGGCTGGGGCAGGCGCCTCTTGGGCGGAGCCATTCAACTGTGCGAGTGAGTACAAGTTCGCCGCAACACTGGTAGTGGTTGGGCTGCTCACCCGCCTACGCTTCCGCGAGGGCGTGGCATCTGGCGTGTCAGGTTCAGACTGCTGTTGAGCGTCTCTACGCGAGCGGAGTCCAGTTCTACGGGTCGACATGTTGCATACGGGCGAGAGACTCTGTACGGAGAGAGGAAAGAATCAGCGAGTGTTGTGTACATGTATCAACTATTTGTTTGTGGTGGTGGTGGTGACATCGGACTATGGGAGGGACGAGCCAGCCACAGACACGGGTGCGAATACCAGCCAGCCCGCCCCACCAAGGGACTCGACACACGCGGAAATGGGGTACTGCTTACCGCGAAAGGTTGGCTTCGGGTTCCCAATACAATGCGCGCGTTACGAAAGCGTCTTCCAGGGAGCGGGAGCAGTCCGAGAGCAGGCGTCGCAGCTGGGTGGTGACGAGAAGGAAGACTGCGGTCGGCGTCGGAAGCGTCGACGTTTCCAGGTGTTTGTTATTCAAGCACGACGCGACTTTGCTGGCTAGCGCAACGTGGCGATGACCTCAATTCACAGCGAGACGATGCGCGACGCGTGCGGGGGGACGGTGATGACAGTTGGCCGAGGCGCGTGAAGGGGTCAGGATAATGAATTGGCTATCGATAGAGAGATAATGGAGCAGAGCCGCAGAAGGGGACAAATTACGTCGCCTTGGTCGAAGGATACCAAGCTGCTATCCGTGCGCACAACCTTGGAAGCCCGTGATCAAAATAACGCGGTAGCTGAGCGCGCCCAAATTGCGCCTGAGCGACCCAGACTTTGCATTCAAGCCCTGCGACGGTACCGGACGGGATGATGGCCAGATGACATGCGTTTCCTGTCGCTGCACGATGGGGTTTGCTATTCTGCCCATCGCGACTCCAAAACGCTGGTAATCTGTGCGCGTTCGATTCGCCAAGCAAACAATGACGCTATACATCAGGGCTTGAAAACCGTTCGCATGTCGCCAACAGGATCGCTGCCAACGGCCCACACCCACACCAACACCAAAAAGTCGCCAATCGTTGCCGCTTCCATCCGCTGACGCTTACTCACTCGCTTCCTGTAGTTTACTACACGGTCATGAAGAACGTCCTAGAAATGTTTGTCCTATGCCCTGCATGCAATCGCAACCCCGGGCGTTCGTCGCGTGACGCATTGATTTTGCGTCCCGTTAGCTGCATTTGTGACCTCGTAGACGCGTTTGTTGACTCTACATCGTCATCGAAGCTCCGCGCCGAAGCGCCCCCGGCCCGCGATACGGATTACCCCTCAATCCAAAGGGATGAGGCACAATAGGCGTGTGCTCTCGATTGGTTCAGCTATGGGTGTGGCGGTTTCATTAGGAAATTTGACAGGCAAGGCGAGTGCACTTCATTTCAACACATTCATGCTATATGTACAAGTATCGTGTCTTCATAATACTAGCTATGACTAGAGAATTAAGGATTGAACATTATTTTATCCAAAATACAACATCCCTCTACGATTCCCTCTCTAAGAGGTGTAGTCGCTGGTGTCAAGCTCAGCGCTAAGAACCAACTTGCGCGAGCTAGCACCAACGTACACCGTCTTGGGGTACTCGGAAATAACCCAGTTCTGGGAGGCAACATCCCAGTTGCTAACATCACGGCGGGTGATGTCGGCGTGGAATGTAGCGCTCTGACCGGGCTGGATGCTCAAGCGGTCAAAGCCACGAAGCTGGACCTTGGGGTCCTCAGGTCCACCAAGCGCAACGTAAGCCTGGACAACCTCGTCACCAGAGACAGTGCCGTTGTTGGTGATGGTAGCCTCGACAGTGAAAAGGACGTCCCACAGAGCGGGGTTGCCACCTGGAGCGCCACCAGCGGGGATGCGAGCTTGGGGTGAGCCGTCGGCGTAACCGGCAGGCCAGGTGTGGTTGACACCGTACTCGGGGTCTTGCGACGCTTCAGCAAGGTCGGTCGAGTTGAGGTAGGGGAAGATGTAAGTAGCCGGGCGGGTAGCGTTGGCGGGGAACTGGTACTCCTCAATATCACGGCTGAAGTTGCCGAGAGTGGGCGCGGCGATAGTCTGGCCAGTAGCGGGCTGGTATGGGCCGGCTGCCTTCTTCTCGACCTTGATGTCAGAGTATTCGAAGGTAGTGTAAGAGAGACCGAAACCGAACTCGTAGATGGGAGTGATGTCGTTCTTGTCAAAGGCACGGTAGTCGATGAAAACACCCTCGTCAAAGTTGTCCTGGGGGCTGCCGTGGCCGTTGGTGGGCTCGTAGATCAGGTCAGGACCGTACTCAGGTGCGGAGCTGCCGATAGTGAAAGGAAGCTTGCCACCGGGGTTCTCACGGCCGTACAGGATATCGGCAATAGCGTTACCGGACTCTTGGCCAGGAAGACCGGCCCAGAGGATAGCGGTGACGTTCTCGTTGTCGTAGAAGCTGTCAACAAGGACAGGGCCGACAGAGTGGATGACAACAATGGTGTTGTTGCACAGCGCGGAGACGTTCTGGACCAAAGTCTGACCACCCTGCCAAAGAGTGAGGTTGTTGCGGTCACCAGCGTTGCCATCAACGGTGATGTAACCCTCACCAGAATCGGCGTTGACGAAGACGATAGCGGTGTCAGCCTGGCTAGCCATAGCTTGGATCTGAGCGTAGGCATAGTTATCAGTAACAGAAGTAACGACACCGCCGTTGTCCGTAACCTCGCGCTTGATAGACTCGAGAGGGGTGACAAGGTAAGGGAAGTCAGCGGTTCCTGAACCCCAGCCCATGGCCAAGGTACCGTTGTCGCAACCACGGTCAGCACATCCGTTAGGGCCGTACTCGTTCTCAGCAGCGTCGTTGCCGAACACAGCAGTCCACTTCTCGTTTCCGGTAAGAGGGAGAACGCCAGAGTTCTTGAGCATGACGGTGGACTTGGCAGCAGTGCGGCGAATGGAGCGGAAGTGGTCCATGCGGACATCAACGTGCTGGTTGACAAGTCCGTAACCAGTCTTTGCGTAGTAGTGCTCGTATCCGTATGTGTCGCGCTGCCAGCTGTCGAAGTTGACAGGAATAGACTCATCAAGGCCGACGTAGTAGTAGGCGGCCATGATGCGGACAGCGGCATCGTCAAGACGCCATTGGGGAACGGTGCCGTTGAGAATGGAGATTGTAAGGTTAGGTCCCCAGAAGGACTGGCCGGAGTTGAAGTCGGTGTCACCGGGCATGGTCATGTCCATACCAGCAAGAGTGGAAGCAACACCAGAGTGCTGGGCATCCCAATCAGACATAATGAATCCCTGGAAGCCGAGCTCGCCCTTCAGGATGTAGTTCTGTAGGTACGAGTTCTGGCAAACCTGCGAGTTGTTGACCTTGTTGTAAGAGCACATGATCGAGCCAGTTCCAGCACGGATGGCATCGGCAAAGGGCCACAAGTACAGCTCGTGCAGAGTCTTGTCGTCCAAGTTGGAGCTGAGCGCATCGACGAAACCAAAGTCTTCGAACTGACCGGGCTGGCGGAAGTGCTCCTGCTCGTTCATGATGTAATGCTTGGTGCAAGCAATTACACCGGCATCCTGAATACCGCGGACAGTGTCGGCGACAGCAATGCCAGACAGGACGGGGTCGGGGGAGAAACCTTCCCAGTTACGCTGAGTAGATGTCAGCAGATATCATGGTGATGAAGTTGATAAACTTACGCCGCCCTTAGGGTTGCGACCAAGAGGACCGACGACGGGACCAAGTTGCACATCGACACCCTTTGCGCGATGCTCCTGACCCATCTGGTAACCACGTTGGTAGAACTCGCCACGGTCCCATGATCCAGCAATAGTGCCTCCTGCTGGGAAAGCGGAGACGTAGTCTGCGAAACGGATACCCAGAGGGCTGTCTTGCATACACAAAGAGTCGAAGCCGAGACGGGGAATGGCGCCGACGTTGCCGACGCAGGCCTCACTCTGCCATCCTGTTCCGGTGGTGAGATTGACCTTCTCGAGAAGAGTCAGCTGGCTGACGAATGCCTTTGCCTTGGTGATGGCATCGGCCCAGTCGCCGGTAGTGTCCTCTACCCAGCTGTTGTGGAGTTAGTAAAGGTGTCTTCGGATGTCGGAATAAAGTCTCGCGCAATGCGACTGCCGAGTGTGAAGTTTAGTGGAGCCTGCACTCCTTCGCTCTTCCCCACACTTGTCAAGCGCACTTCTAGCGGATCGCATTACGCAAAACGTCAGGTTTGTACGTACGGAGATGGGTAGAAAGGCGGGCTGTCAGCAAAGTCCAAAGGACTGCTGCTGGTGTCATTTGCGCCCGGTGTGGTGTTGTTAGAATACTTGTTTATTGTCAGCGGAAGCTCGTAAACACGACTGCAAGGTTGAAATGTACTGGACGGAAGAATGGGAAAAGAGCAACAAAAAGATGCGCAAAATCAGGCAGCATTTCCGCAGCTTTGACATGAATATCTTGTAGCGACAATGCTGTTGTGAGGCGTAGCTACAAAACAAATAAACGTACCTGGGCATGGGCAAGGCCCGCCAATAATGCTTGTGCAAGCCACAGCATGACGTCTGGCTGGCTGGGAAACGCGAGTTGAGATGTACAAGTACACAGTAATAATTAAATTTACTGTGCTAACATGTAAGTAGGAGTTGAGAGCGCTCGCAGACACAGGCCAAATTTCACGGGCACCATGACAGCCTTTATTCACTGCGATGAGCAGCAAGTGACAAGGGCAGGGCATAGCTTCCCCAGCTACCCGTCCCCTAGCACCATGCGCCGTCACAACCCCAGGCGCAAGCGGCTGGCTCTTTTTTTGCGGGGAGCATGTGCAGAACCTGCTGATCTCCGTCTTTGGTGCCCTCAATGACTCGATGGAGCTCAATCCGGGGCCTCCGCTCTGTCTTCTGGCCCCGATGTTTCCTTGGAAGCCCCATCACATGCTCTCTGCTCAGTCAAACGTCCTGCATATATGCAGCGACCATGGCCTACATGCAGCTGCATCACGTCAGGGAAGCTCCACAAGGGAAAAGCAGAAGTATTGTTTCTGTCCCGTCGCGCTCAACCTGTGTGCACGGTCGCGTCAATTGCCCCGGCCATGTACATCGTCATATACCTACGTCAACCCTGGACGTGCATATAAGCTCCTCTCGAAAGCCCTTTCCGAACGCCACAACAAAGCCAAGCTAGGGAATTGGGGGTGCGTGAGGCGAGCTATTTGGCTGGCCCACGACATCCAAGCCCAGGGCAAGACACGCAGTGCGGGGTCGATGTCGTATGCCAGCTATCATCGAACTGCGCCCCATAGTCGCAAGCCTTGGTGTCTAGCAACTACATGGTAGCGCCTGATGTGAGGTCCGATACTCCGTTGGGCTGTACAATCGGCCGGTATAGCTCGTCGGGGTAAACCCAGTATTTTCATGGAGCACCCGCATTATACATTGGCGAATCTTCGGCAATACCGTTTGCGGAATTGGATCCGTTCGTAAGCTCACAGTAACGTTCCGACTCCTACCTCGGCGTTTGGTTTCCAGCAAGTTAGCAACCGGTCGAGTGCGCTTGAGAACTTTTCCACCGGGTGATCTAGTAAGCACCAGGGTGCTCTCGTGGACTGCCCCACACGGCAGGTAGTACATGGGAAAGTCACTCACGTCACGTATCTTGTCAGAGTAACCTGTCTCCGACGCTGACCCAGTTGTGCTACTCCTCTACCTTAGAGCAGTATCGCGTCGATACAAGGCGGCACCGCGATCCGTCGGTAAGACGTTCGGCATGTTACCAGCGTTCCGCGAAACTTGGCTGTGCCGCTCTGTTAGTCACCAGGTTGAAGATCGTGTGATGTACCTTCGACTTCAAGTTCGCCTCAGGGTACATCAGTAGCTTGCAAACTCTGATACTTGGAGGCATAACTAACCAGGTTCGCTGCGCGTCCTAAGAATAATCTAGCGATACCCAAGAACCCGTCTCTCAGCGTGACGATCTCACCTTAATAAACGTGGAAGCTAATATATAGCCTCGCGCGTATAAGGTATACCGCTGACTGTAGTCAGTCTAGAAGTCGTCTTCCTCCGACGTCTTGCATGAGTCGCTCATGCTACGTGCCCCGCTCCATGGCACACATTACGTCTAGCTGCAGCAGTCTACCAAACTCTCACGAGCTCTATGGGAAGACGCCTATACGAGCATACTTGCGCATTTCACGAGAGCTGGTGAAGGAGACTTGAAGAGCCTCTACTCTTGCAAAGTTTGCCCATGATTACTCTATCATCTCGGCACGGTCACATCGTATTACACCGAGCCGAACCCTCATTCCCGCAGTCGAGCCTAGCTTTTGAGTTTGACTTTCAAGGTAGCACCATGCACTCCTTGTACTGGATACAACGTATTTCGCAAAAGTTGTCGCGACCAGTACCTCCGATGCGAAGTTTGCCCGGAGTCCCAGGTGCGCCATTTGGACCCCTCTTGCTCTAAGCTAAAAGCAGATTGGCGTCTCCATCGCCACATCTGAGCTGAACAGCTACTCATGCACGGGAGCAGCCGGTGTCTCCGAACATCGGTTACTCGACATAGGAAAGCATCATCATAGGTACCTCTGCCTCCCAGATAATCCATTTTCATGCACCGATCAAGTGACTACCAGCTCAAGAGGTTACAGGCTCAGCGACAAAGTGTTTCCGAATTTCATCCTGCTGAGAGATCGCGACCACAGGAACCTCAAGCCTGCTACCAAACTTTACAGCAACAACGAACAAACACGATTGGATCAGGCCGATGGATACGAGGATTAGACTGAATAGCACCGGACTACGCAGCTGAATCCTAACTCCTTGTGCTGGCGCATGCCCAGGGACGATCGCTTTCGGGTTCGTTTCTGCCGCTGCTGCAACTACGCCGATAGCGAATCGTGAAAGCAGGCTTGCCATCCCTACTACACTGTTGTTCTGAGGTTCTCCGAATGTCATACCATTGGTGTAAGACCCCCATTCACGATTCGCCGGTCCTAATGTGAATATCTCTTGGTGAAGCTCCCCCGAAAGTGCAATTGCTTGAGCAGCGACAGCGGCATTTGTCGGCGAGAGATATTCTGGTGCTGATACTGTTATATTGCAGTCATAGTAAAAGTAACCAAAACTCGATATCGTTGAGCCAGGAACAGCTTCACCAGCCGATTGTTCAAGTACTTTGACATTGCCACATCCTGGTCCACACTGGGCTGTTGGTGTAGTGAGAACGGGCGTGGTAAGATAGAGGATAGACTCGACCAAGGAGGAAGGAAAGTATACGGCTTCTCCAGTGCTGTTGACGTTGATAACCAGGAGACGGTCGGTTTTACGGACCCAGAAATTCGGCGTTTGACACGATCCAGACGCAATTGCAACATCATCCGTATAAATTGAAACAGCCTTCAGCGGTACGTTTTTTTCCGCCGAAGTAGGGTCTAGTACTGCCGAGTCACGGAACACGTATTCCCAACGGTCGGTCGCATTCCAAAACATTGCAGGATTCTGAGCCCAGGGAGTACCGCTTAGAGCTACCTTGGGTGACGTGGCGTAATTATAGCTGCTCCCTATATCCCCAAGTATGTGGGCCGCAAGACGTTCAACAAAATCGTGATTGTAGAATCGCGAAGGATATGGTGCAAACGTCGTCAAATTCGCGATTGCCATGTCTGATAGACCTTTCTTGCGATATATGTCCGCTGGCCCTGGATCTCCGGACAAAGTCAGACTCAGAGTCGCAATTCCTGTTTGAACCAACTGGAGAGTGTCAGCGTGCGCCACCTTTGTAGCTAAAGAGACTGACAATATTCAACAACAGCCAACAACCGCAGATGAACCTAATCTTCATCTCTCGGGTAACAAACATGAGTCTTGCAAGCTGTGTCAAGCTGTCGCAGTGCATTATCGAATCGACCTAGCCCGTTGGATCAGCGACTTCGGTGCTCATTCATTGGAGAGCGAGCACGACATACTTCATGACCCGATCTTTTTCTACTGTTCAGGATCCACCATCGAAGATCAAGCGCGATAGACTTGAGACCGCTTGCGACATTCAAGCCGAACACGATACCCAGTCCCACGATAGCCGCATCAAAAGCTGACTTTGTGTGGGGACTGATTACTCGATCTTTATGGAGCCATACCAGGATAAAGAAGCTTGCGATAAGGACCCAAGAGATTGCGCAGCTTACAAGCCCCGGCAAAGCATGTTTGGTACCGGTTTTTGTGAGTAAAGTAGAGCCGGACTGTGCTACCGTTGTGCCTCTTCTGGTTGAGGGTGCGAACGAATGTCTCGAGTTCGTGGCGACAGCATCCTGCTCTATGTAGGAATTGCAGTCAGCATTGGATCCTATCACACGATTGGTGAGTTATGGCTGACCAGATTGGGTCAACAACGGATCCTGAGCTTCTTCTGCGTCGAAGCCCAGATGAGTTGGAGTTTGTCCTGACGGCGCGAAGCTATCTCCATCAGACGATGGTGATATGGAGCGCGTCATGGGCCTGATTGGAAGAAGAGGCACCGGCGGAGTAGAACTCATTGCGCGCAGGATCTGTCGACAAAAGAAGTGATGGAAAGCAGATAAGTCATGATATGGAGCAGACCGTGGGTGCCTAAGAGTCTATCATTATATCCCCCAAGCACAATGCCACTTCAGCCGCAGCTGACACCATATCGGCAGTGGTCACTCTGGTCGGTCAACACTTGCATTGTCTATGCGATGTAGTGTGTCAGCTGAAGCTGCAGAGGCTTTGCGCCGAGCCATCCATCAGCAGGCTAGACGATTCGTTATCCTCAATCTTGTAGCGAGTGTTTGGCAGTAGACATTTTGCCATACCAAATCTGCATTTGGGTAGAAACTGTGGTTCTTACAAAGGCAGGGTAGAGACGTCATAGTAGAATGGTCTCGCGATATGCTAAACCCAGTATAGCGCCAGGTCGCTGCGTGGGGTGGATAGGTAGGTAGAATGGCTGGTGAGTGCAGAAGTCGATCGCGCATAGAAAATCTAGCGTCATCACCCACATACGCGACTGTCCACACTAGAAAGGGCGAACGAACATCCTTTTTTCGGCTATTGTGGTATTGTACGTATCTGCGTCACTTAGCGTGGTTCAAGGGCTGAGGCTTGGTTTTGGATGACGTGCTAAGCCTCATTCTCTTACCCCCCAGATCCTACCATACGAACAGCAATCATCCAACCAACATGCGTGAAGGACACGCAAGTTGAAATTCCAGGCATCATAGCCTTGTCGCAGCTGATATGCGTATGGCAAATGTGGGGTGTCTTGTTGATGTCTTGGTCAAGCCAATGGCTGTCAACGCCGCAAGGCTGCCTGCAGGCAGCACGACGCCTTTCTTTGAGTCAACAGCCTTTCTGAGTCAAGCTTCTCCGTATCGAATTGAAGTTTGCTTTCCATTTAAGCCGTATCTTCCAGAGCGTTCCATGTATCCTATGTTGCAAAAGCCATCTCAATCATTATGGGTTCTAAGTTGTCTCGCGCGGTACGACCGCAAGTGAAGGCTGTTGCCTCACCGGTCGCGACTGCCCAACATCACGACATCGACCATGTGAACGCGCAAAAAGGTCGCCAAGAGATCACTCCGCAATTACCAGACACTTTCGCTCATGACGATATCAACGTTGCAACTTCTATCACCACAACCGCAATTGCGCAAAGACGCAACAGCGCGCCCGCCTTGTCGTCCACATCTGCAGCTTCCGCCGCTATGGAGCAGATATACAGGATCTCTGCCGAACTTCGCCTTGCTCAAGCAGAACGTGACTTGATGTCCATCGAGTACGCCGGCACCGATATTGATCCACCGCCCGCAGTCGCCATGGTCTCGCCCTCTCCAGCCCCGCCAGTTCCTGTCCAAGAAACGGAAGTGCAGTGTATTGTATGCTGCGCCCAGCTACCGAGTCCCAAGGATGTGAAGCATACAAGAGAGGTTATCAAGCCATGCAGAGATTGTGGAAGCGCATACTGTGGATCATGCATAAAGAGGATGTTCACGGAATGTTGCAAAGACACCACTCGCATGCCTCCGAGGTGTTGCGTACAGATCCAACCTCATCATGCAAAGCCGCATTTGACAAGAGAGGAGTTTGCGGAGTTCAGATCAAAGTACGAGGAGTGGCTCACACCAAATCCGTTTTACTGTCCGATACCAACATGTTCGGCATTCATTCCAGAACGACTTCTCCCAGAAGAAGTAACAAAGAGGAAAGGAAGGCGCACAGACTCTGGCATCGGAACACCAACCTCAAAATCTATCGCATGTCCAACCTGCGAAACGGGTATCTGCCCTGATTGCCGACAAGTCGCTCATCCGAACAGTCTGTGCAACATCTCTGAGTTCGGCATCGATGCAGAGACTACAGAACTATTGAAGAGCTGGGGCTATAAGAAGTGTCCAAAGTGTGGACATGGATTGAAGCGGATGTTCGGGTGCAACCGTAAGTAATTTACCTGCACGAAGATCGTATGCGACATACACTAACTTCCTGCGCCTGTACCTAGATATGGAGTGTCGATGTGGTGCCCACTTCTGCTACGCCTGCATGGAAGATTACAACAATTGCAACGGAGGCTGCGGCGAGGAAGACGATTACGATGACGAGTCGTTCGATGAAGATGAAGATGAAGACGAAGATGTGTCGCCCGAACAACACGATGATACCGGACTCCCGCCTGACACGAATGATGCACCTGACTCTTCTAATGAAGCGCCCCAGCTTGAAGGCACTACTGGAGAAGCAGCAACTGTACTCCCGCAACCAGCTTCTCAACCACGCAACCTTGACGGCGGAGGACACCGCTACTGGCAGCGACAGGATCTAAACTTCGGCGAGGAACCAACAGAAGACTATCAAGACCGCTCGTGGGACTGCGAACATGGGTTTGATTCATGCAAAACCACCCTTGCCAAAGCGCTGAACAATGACCCTTCGACTGAGATGGAATGTGTGAAATGCTGGTGTGCGATACATCCAGAAATCAAACCACCCAATGAGGCGCCAAACACAAACACCAACGTGAGGACTGTACCCGCGGGCGCGAGGGGAGCGGAGAGAGGAATCACACGGGGCATGGCCGCAGGTCGAGGACAGGGACGAGGACGGGTATGGGAATGGGGACGGGGAGCATATGTACCCCCACGTGGACTCTTTGAAGCCCATGGCGCGATCGGAACAGCACCTCATCTCCGCCACACCTTGTCCTCTCCGCTGTCTCAAAGCGTGCCAGCACGCGAGCCTTCTCCGATGGAAGACGTTCAGTATTCTTCTGAACGAGTAGTAGATACCTATGGTAACACCATCGCCACCTCAGAGATAGGACTCCGGCACCGAGCATCCGACGAGGCGTTGTCCAGCAAGATCGTCCCAACGCGAGAAGATCAGGACCCAACGCTGCGTAAGTTCGACCGGACACCATCGACTATCTTTTCTGAACCGCCAGCCAAGTTTAGCCTTGCGTACGAATGCTATTCTTGTGCCTTGCTTGTCTGCAAGAAGTGCAGAGACGGTATCTTAGATGCTCAGAATGCCGAAAGGCACGTCGATGAGGATTAGAGACGGCAGCCTCTCCGATCAGGTTTTTAGCATTTGCAGCGTTTGTACATACAATGGAATGAGCATCAGACATGGAGGCATTGAGGGCGTTAAGATTACTTCTATACTGGGATTACGTTGCGAAAGGCATGAACTCGACAGCATCGGCGCATGATGAGTGGAAATGTCTATCTTCTCTACATCACGCGTTGTCTTGTGTCATACAAGGACACGCATACAATACAAGTGACATGTGTGCAGAATCACTCTACTCATCCTCGTCAAAGTCATGAAAAGGCCAAGCCAGGAGCACTCTCTCCGCTTCCAATGGATCGTCTTTGAGTTTAATTTGAACACCTTCCCTGATCATACTCTCCCTTTCTTTCGCCACATAGAAGTTTTCGTGCGATACAGATCCGTCAGGTAAAACGCCCATCATCTCCGACATTTTTTTCGTAAACACATCACCCTCCTTGGGCGAAATTCTGAGGTTTTCCCTTCTCTGCATCTCCTGTTCTTCGATGGCGACTGGGCATGCCGGTATACTGCCGTCGGCGGAGAGTGACGCAAAGACTGGTCAATTCCGGACGACCTGTGAGAGGTCGATTGGGAGATGCGCATTATTGCCTTGCCAGATCATACCAGCCTGGAGGAACATGTTACGCGTTATGAAAGCTCCGTCGTGCCCCATATAAGCCCGCCGATGCTGCTCGTTTAATTTCTGAGTTAGTGCAAGGTACTAGAAATGTATGTGTCGACGTCGTTATTGCTCCTCTGCCCTGGCGCGCGCGGATTTGTTCATAGACTGAAGGTCCTCCGGGAATTTTGGGATTTGAAGACCACGTAGCCCTCGTCCGCGTAGTTTTCAAAGGCTGGTGTTATGCCGGCGGTCAGCCAAGCAGGGAGGACCATGGCATGTTGCCAGTCGATAAAACCGGTTACGATAAGGTTGTCAGTTATCAATATGTTATTGGGAGTGAGGTCAGGATGTCGAAGTGTCGGAGTGTACGATAGTGGGTCTGCGGGTACAAGATAAGGTATCAGACGCAAGTAGTCTTCTAACGAACTGGCATGTTCTTCAGGATCTTGCATTTTGTAACCGAACGATTCGATGTATTCACAGTCAGACGGATAGCGCGGTCGACCGTGAGCATGAATCCAGGCTATCTCCTTGTCCGCGAAGCTCCGAAGGACGTGCTGAGGATTAGTATGAGGACCACGGTCAATGTCCAGATATTTGCGTTCGCCGTACCACCACACTGAGTGTGCATATGGACCAATGCACAAGCCGTTGTCAAATTCAGGTATATCTATGCGAGGCATCGTCGGAGGTAAGTCATCAGAGTAGTAGATGCCGCCACTGGCTGGCAACTCCACAGCGAACAGCTTGGCTTCCATGGTAACTATTTGATGCAAGGTCTTGAATCTTTCATCATCAGTCAAGTGAACCCATACTCTACTAAGCGGCTTTCCTGACGTTCTTTCCATCAACATGTACTCTGCGCACACAGCGTTCTCATCAGTCGAGTAGGCTAAAACTTGAGGTGCAGATATTCCGTTCGCGCGAAGGAGGTCTATTGTTGCGAATTCACTTGCTACTGCTAATCGTCGTGGTACGGTTGACGGGTAAGGAAGACGTGCGAGTATCGATGCGCCATCATTCATCGTCACCTCCAGGATACGGTTGAAGCCACCTTCAGCAATCTTTCTCAACAGCTTGACGTCTCCAACAGGTTTGTTGAGTGCTTTCGCAGCGACCTTCTTGAGTTCAGACACGTTAGAGGGCATGCGCCGTTCGGCCATGCGGAGAGACTCGTTGGAACTAGGTGATCATGTTAATCGGCCTGTCGATGCTTAGTCTGCAGTTTGATTCATGTACATTCATCGACCGGAGGTATATTCGAATAGCTCGTTGTTATCTTGGTGTTCATCCTGAACGACTTTGCAAGAGGCGAAAGCGCGTCTAGGACATGGAGACGAGGACGTGACAAAAGCGATCCCACGCAAGGCTGGTGTCCACCATCTCAGCCGGTATGCTGTCTAGTGAAGGGCTGCTGGGGAGGCTGAAGGCGCCATATTCCGAATGACGGACAGCTATGACCTGGTGTCTTGCTAACACTTCCGGATGGTGTTCGTGCGATAGCCGAATCGTTGCTTCGTACGCACAGCGCATGTGCACAGACAGCTATCGCCTTGTCGCCATGCCTAGGTAGTCATCTGCAGTATTACGGTACAGCACCAATTTTTGGGCATGAACGGCCGCACTTCATCGTACAAGGAATCTTGAAAGCTGGGCGTGGAGTAAATTCTGCGGGGGACGGCCTATGGAGATGCGCGTAACCCAAAGTACATAAGCTTTCGCCCACTGCCCCACTTGATGTCATTCTCCACTTCATCCGCAATGGCTCATTCCGCAGGCGCTATTCGGTTCTGCGATGGACAGATTGTCGATATCACCTGAAATCTGCATACAGCCTTGTCGCATTTCCAGCATTAGTACCGGTCGGGATTCCGGTTGACGCGTCATGGTAGGTGGACTTACAGAGAACACCTGTTGGAGGCGCCGTGAGCTGACGACGCGTAGCATCGACCAAAGAGACGCACCGGAGCGCGGACTGCAAGTAAAGCAGATGGAAAGAAGCTATGAGAATACGCAAACCGTTCAAGCCTGGATCGGCGCTGGCACCGAAGACCACGATGCCGCAACGGCGGTCAACGCGATCCGAACTGTCTCCGACTTCCTCCACGATAAACTCAGTATCTTGACCTAAGAGTATAGGGTCGGTGAAGACACGTATCCAGAATATCCGCTCAAACGCTGAGCCGACGTGCCTCTCCCCTACGTGATCGATCCCGTTACGGATACTATGTGGAAGTCGCTGGTGTGATTGTACTCCCATTCCTATTTCACTCGTGTTTGGGTGATTCAGGAGATCAGCGCCAGCCTCCACCTGAAGGTCAACGTCGGACATGCGAAGACGTTATGGAACAGGGTCGATCTTGTTGCCAGCTATATCATAATGGAGTCTGCATTCTCGCATGCGTACGGGTTTTGTACTGCGAACTGCCGGTGGGTCGCGACCATCTCAGAGTTGATTGCGCAACCGACACGATAGCTCAACATACTTCACCTCGCATCTAGTTATGGATACTTTGATGCCAGAGGCAGTATCTATGGGTTGCGAGGCTTGATGAAGCTGCCCAAGGACGGCCATATGCTTGATTCATATTACAGCAAGTCGACGCTTGAAGTATACCGTGATTCGATTGAGGCGGCGCTCGTAAACTTCGAGAAGACTGATGTACTGTTCTATGTTACAGGGGAAGAAGAGCCGTCCTGTATTGCGCGCTGGAACATACCGATGCTCTTCCGTAACCCATTCTGATTTAACAAGCCTATGCCCTAGAAGCCCGCTGGCGACACGAGATCAGCGTGGGGCATCGATAAGGATACCAATGTGTTGTCACTGTCTGGCTTCAGCCTAAATGCTATCACACATGCTGAATCGTGCAACCAGCTCAACTTTGCCAATACCACCATCGACTCAGTGGAGGGGAAAACAAGATTGAAGGGTCTATGGACGCGCATTCTTCACACCTTCGCAGCTGGTCTTGACAGCACTTTGCCGCTTACCAGATCTTTCCTCACGGCTGCCGTAGTATCACTCTCTATTAGCCTGAGCCATGAGATTAACCCGTCCGAGCAATTTGAGCTGTTGCACAACTTCGTCGCATATGTTGCCATCGTTTTAACTAATGATCGAGCGATACTGACTACATTCATCCCCGGTGATTTGCTGGAAGAGTCGAACAGTGCAGAGAGACGTGCTTTTGGTCAGCCAATGTGGGACTTTCATTACCCGGAGTCTAGCATCTACATCACGAAAGATAATTCATCACGAAAGATAAGCTCGTCAGGTGCGCTATCGCAACTACACAATCTAGCGATGAAGTTTTCGTCGCGTCGGGAAGTACGTATCCGATGATATTGAGACATAGTGAGACTGGCGGGAAAGGGCAGTATGTGATTCGCGGGGTCGCTTACGTTGACGGCGGGATGGATGGAGAGCCCGCTGATACGGATGGCATGACGTTCCATATACAGTGAATCAACTTGATGGCACAATACATCATTGACATAGATCGGAAAATATTTCATTTCATGAGCACAATAGTGCCGCAGTGGGGTTTAGTTAGGCAAAGTTCATTTAGTGCATGCAGGCCTCCAGAGCCGTGGTGGCGGAGCACGCTGCAGATGAACCCGAGCCTGTTGTCAGCCCAGCCGCTCGTCTTACATATTCCTATCATCCTGACCACCCCAGAAAAGCTTTTGAGATTTGGCTATCTTCACCGAGCCGTCTATCGTGATCAACATTATCTCCGTACCCTACGTACTTATCTTTTGTCGGGTGCATGCCATTCATTGCCCTGCGCACTTGATTTCCAGGTCTCAGCCTGATCAGGTGACGATATTACCATCGAACAACAACAAAAACAAGCGGGGTTTAAGCTTTCAGCTACCTCTCAGCCCGACAGCGAAGACAAGGCGATGAGCTTCAATCCCTACGTGGTTGCAGACGCTCGTACACATCAAGGACGGCGTCGACAACAGACAGGCCAAGGACAATCTTATATCAATGACAAATCGCAAACACAACCACATGAGTCCTATAGCGGGACATGGGATCCTGAAAGACAAGAATACTATGACGCCAATTCCTATACTGGATCGATACTCCATCACTGGATATGGGATCCAAAAAGATCAGAATGGTATTATCTCAACTCTCCCGATGGAACGAGAGTTTATAACACATTGACTTGGGATCCGGAAAATCGCACGTATATCCGCAAAAACTACGATGAACATGAGGACATCCACATTCAAAACGCATCAGACCAGGGTCGTGACGCATACGATCTGGCCTCAAAAGCTGAAAAGCCTCTCGGTGGCTGGCGAAGGACGGCAAGGAGGCCGCCCAAGGTGCCAGAAGGAGACAGTAGTAACACTCAATCCAATGTCGGAACGAATCCCATCTGGATGAATAGTGCGACTCCCCCACCAGACAGTAACCAGGACGCAGGTGACGGCTTCAACACACCTAAACCGGATACTCACGAATTGCCTCACTACTTATCTTCGGAAACAACATCATCGCATAATTGGAGAGAGATCCGTTCTAGGCTCTCCTTTGACTGGAAATGGGACATCGAATATCATACTACAAACGCCGACTATAGTGGACAACATGGATCTTGGACTGCCACCTCGATGGAACCAACCGAGCCAAAAGACTATCCCCTCAAGATTGGGAGTGCTCCAGTAGTACTCCCCGTGGAATATCAGTGGCCTCCTGTTGGTGGTGTAACGCCACCACCAGATCCACGCGCTACAGCACCGATCGATTGTCGGGCGGATCTACCTTTGACACTAGTGAAAGACCTCTTCCTCACTTTTGAGGGAAGCATCGGGTTCTATGTTCTGATAAACGGCTTTCTCCAAGTTATGGTGCCGGTGGACTATGACACCAGCTGGGCATCGTCACACCTCCCACATAAGTATGGTGGCCTGAAAGTGTGCTACATCGAACAGACTCTCGAACCGACCATGCTACCGACAAGGACTGAGACCGGCAAGATCATACCTCGCTATCACTCACCCGGGTCCTCAAATACCGCTGAATTATCCCAGACTGTCCACTTATCAGCACAACATTCTGTCAATCACCCCTCACTCAGACTCAACGACTTCATAGCAGCCCGTCCTCTGTCTAATCATCGAAGAGAGAGGTTTTCTGGTCGTGTTGGCCTCAGAGTAATCAATTTCGGCATTCCGTTTGTAGTAATGTCCACACATGTGATCACCGAAGCAATAATGGCAAGATCGCATCGCGACACTATACTTGGTCGGAACAGTGAAGAACGCATCCAGAAACTCGATGGCAACTGGAATGATCACATCGAGATCTGGGCCGGTAATGGAAAGGTCAGTTCCTTGACAACGTCGAGCCTAGTCGTGTGTCATCATCTATCATTACCTACCCGCTCTTTAGCTAATACACCAAATAGATTGGAACAATTCACGAGACCTTTGATAAGGAAGCGGGTATCTACCCTGACGGCTTTAAGCACGATGTCACTCTTGTCAAGCCCACATCTCAGGTTGTAGTGAAAGACATCGTTTCCCCAGTTGCCGACCTTGGGTGGCTCAATCACGACTCATGGACTTCGCTCCGCCAGCAAACAACAACAGTCAAGATTCTAGCTGACAACGAAGGCTTACAGTTAGGTAAAAGCATCAAGTGTAGTCGCCCATCGGATGTTCTCGTTGTAGGCGAAGGCATATTTCTCAATCAAAAGGCCGCAGCAGGTAGCTCAAGGGATCTGAAAAACCACGATGCGTCAACATGGAAAGATCTCGTGTCGCGCGCTCTTCTATACCGTGTATATCCCGACTTTGATCCACCAAACGGTCACAGTGGCACAGCACTATATGCAGACGGGATAAGAGAGGACGGCACAGAAGGTCCTGGCATTGTAGGCTTCCAAAGCTTCGTGCAGCGCAGTGGCCATGTCCAGAATTTCGAGATGGAAGGTCCTGCGCTCGAACGAAGATTGCAACTTGGGAGGGTAGCATTCTACGGAGCGTTCGAAGTTCCCGACGAGCTTAAGCAGTACGACATCGCTTGAAACCACTTCTCATCTATTAACCAGATATTCTGTACCTACACTGTCATTGAGGCACTGCGTCTCGAGCGCAATTTCCAAAACTTAGTTTGTGCCGTAGTCCAGAATGTTTTTAGTCTTTGTCTCTCGCTCCACCAATAAACAGCAAAGGTAGCAAGTCCAACAGACACAGTGACAGCTACCCATATCCAAATGCTCAACTGATCCAACTCAACGAAGTTCATGCCAAATATCGAAGTACAATACGACAGTGGAAGGAAAATGGTTGCCAATATAGTAAGTTTCGTGACTTGCTCAGCGAGGGTGATTTGTTTTTGAGATTCTGCAAGCGAAGTAGCACTAACCAACATCGTTATCGCGTCCTGATAGTGTAATGAAAGCTGACGATACCGTGATAAAAGGAATTCGAAGTCGGCTTTGACAGCATCTTTAGACTCCCGAGCTATAGCATTCTGGTCTTGTGTAAGATTACTCGCCCACCGAGCTAGCACGGGTGAACTGATGAACCGTAAGACATCTTCGTGTCTATCCGCGTGATCATCCAAAAGGTGCTTGTGTAGTATGAGCTGCTCAAGCTGCTCAGTTGAATACTTCCGGTTCCATGTAGTCGATGAAATGAGATCATACCATCTTTGGAGAGCAGATAGTAGTTGATTTTCTGAGGCGGCTGCGAAAAGGAGAACGGGCGCGAGAGCATACAGCGGATCCTGACCAGCGATTACATGGTCATCAAGCATCACATGCAACTCCGATGGCAAATGAGAGGCCGTTTGGACGAGAGAACCATCGGCGGCTTGCGGATTCTCAGGATCGAACAAAGGCAGCGGCCAAGGTTGTCGGATGGCCGACTCCATTCCCAGTATGTGTACAGGCAAGAGGCGGATATCTCGGTGTCCCGTAGCCGTGTTTGCCGTCATATCATCTATGAATCGATGGTATTCGCGACTCTTAGACAGGTCTCTGCTTCCCACATCTGTCCATAAGATTGCTGGCATACATGTAAGCTATACATCTATGAGCTTCAAGGGAGGAAAGCCCGCTCACCTGTCCAGCCATTCCCATTTGGCTCAATAGTTATAGATATGTTTTGTTCGATGACGAATTGGAGGTTGCTGAGATACGTATGTCTTCGAATATACGAACCACCAGGAGCTACGTGCAAACGTCTTGGCATCCATTCAGCATCGTCCGGAAGAAGCCTTCGTCGCGCTTGTAAGATGGAGCTACTGAAGGGATCCAGCGGTATGCTTTTCTTTGTGGAATAGCCCTGGGTATTGAGGCGTAGCAAGAGCCCTTTCTTGGAAGTAGACAAGGGAGTCCTTGTTATGGCGTGAAGAACAGGTCCATCGGTTGAGCGCCAAAGATGAATGTGCTGTCGAAAGAACTCAGGTGCAATGTTGTACTTTGCGCCTACTTCACATACCCAGGATCCCGGAAGATGACCGTTGAGAAAGAGGACCTGCCCTTGACCTTTGCTGGCAGGTGGAAAGGCCACCATGTCCACCAACTGAGAGTATTTGAAGCTGTGTCGTTGATGTTCTTCGTATCCATTAGTAGAAGGTCCATAGACGGATATGTGTGCGAGGTAGTATGCTTCGAGATCGGGGTACTGCTTGGTTAGATGAGTTTCGTCCGCCCGAAACAGCTCCCCGAGAAACCTGTAATGGTACCCGAAGAAAAGTGTACGTGTGTATGAACGTTTGGCATAGTCCAGTATATTCTGACGATAGCTTTTGGCACCAAGTGAAAGCTGCATTTTATCTATGTACGATCATGGATTGCGACATGCAGTAGTGATCCTTCTTTCTGGATAGCGGCGGGCGAGAAAACAATAGATAAATGGGAAGATCATGCCGGCGGCTACCTGTGACCCGATATGCACGAGGCGGAACAGGGCTGAAAAAGCCAAGCTGCATGTCCATGATGCTCTTTATCGCGACCACTCACGATATCGTATAAGCGAGTGTGCATCGTCTGTGATCGCATAAACTACGAATGTAGGTTAGCCGCCCGTGATACGAGGCTGAAGGCCTCCGATTTCGTTCATCGCCAGAAAGACCCTACAACCTGCGCAACACTAAGCAAAACCTGCAGCGCCGTCAGGAAAACAACAATGGTAGCAAAGCTGCATCACGTCAGTCTTGTGGATGCAAGTAGCCCGGAGGAACCCACAAGAATGTCCAGAACTGTAGAGTATCTCTGCGATCACGGAACAGAACCCACACGCTCCAAGGTTTGGCTTCCTCGAGATGCTCCTCCAAGATCACAATACGAGCCCAGAGATGAGGGAACATATCCGGTGTCCAGTCAGAGGGTTCACTAGTCATCAATTCAAACAGCAAAGGGTCATATTCAGATTTGTGTGTTCGTTGAACCCTCTTAGCGCCTGACGCCCGGTGTTGACTGAATCTCTTGTAACTCATAATGGCACGGTTGCGGTGTCGTCGCATCGAGCAGTAACGGCACCAGCAAAAGGATCCGATACCCAGGATTCGCGCAAGCTTTACATGGCGTGGGGTTTCGTGTGAGGCGTTGAACAACAAGGCGTACGTCTCCTTTATCTCTTGAGCAAGTTCAGTGGTGATGCCGCCCAGCTTGAGGGAAGTAGCATCTAGCGCACATGGAAGGCTGAAGATTTCAAGGATATGTCGCCCGTCACGTTTCGATAGCGATAGATGCCTGGAAACATTGTGGGTCCATGCAATGTCCACCGCTCCAAAAACGTTCAATGTATAGGCATTGAGCCGCGTCGCGTCGATTGTAAGTGACTCCAAAGAATCCAAGTCGTTCAGAAAGCCCAATGAAACGCGTTTGTGCAGATCGTGGTCGATGCAGGTAGAGGCAGACGTTCCAGCGTCGACCTGGCTGGTCGAAAACGAAGCTGACCATGGTCGTGAGAAGGGCGATAGCATTGCAGCAGTCTGGAATGACCCGTCTTTGCGTATTGTGTGGTCCAGGGGTAGATAGTGTATGTGGACTGGCAGGAGGCCACTGCCCAGTACCAATCCAACCAAGTCTGTTCCATAGGGCTGGCTTCTACAGGCGCTGCCATGAGTTCGCAGGTTATAGGCAGCCGTAACCTTGCGAAGACCACCAGCCAAAGGCAGATGAATGAACGAGCTCAGAAGCAGCGTCCAAATGCCGATAACGTACAACACGGTATCCTCGACGTATTCGCGATTCCGTTGTGCGTAAGTGGGGGATGAAGATACAACATCTAGCAACCCCTGGATACTCTTCCCCATCGACGAATCAGCTGGAACCCCATCAAAATATTTGACTACCATAATGAGCAGCTCAATGTATGCCTCCATTGTATCACTACCAATGCATCGGTTCGTTACGTAGTTGAGGTACGGTTCGGCGGCGGCATCGTGTGGATAGTTGGGAAAGCCCAAGGTGTGCGCGAGATCGGTTCGTGGAATTTCAGAGGGAGAAGATATATGAGTCATGATTAGCAAAGTAGGAGCTGACATGCCTTGAAGACTTCAGCGTAGCCTGTTATCGTCGTCGTCGAACGAGTACGCTTCGTCTGGGGCGATCACGAAGATGATGGATATGGTCATCCATCAACCAGACGGCATATTGGGATGCCTCTATATTGAACATCTTCAGGTCAGGCTGAGGCTGAGTACGGGCCATTACTATGATGCATATCTGCGGGTGTAACAGTACGCACACGTGGTGGCTGTGAAAGGGCGCGGACTGCACGCGCTGCTTATCGATAACGCACCTTAGGCAGCCCGCGTAACACGTTTTCCCTGCTTGCGCCCAGCCACTCAACATGACGGACTCACTGACGCCTGCGCAATATAGTATGTCACGAATAGGTGATACTTCAATTATTTCATGTACCCATCGGTGCGAACGTCAATATGTAGGGTGACTACCTAGTCTGCAATTGTTTATCCGCTAATGAACCAACAGGGACGCCGGCAGCAGCAGGCGCAATGGAAAGCCAGCATCCTGCGAACCATGCAGGCTAAACAAAACAAAATGTGATCATGGTCATCCTAAATGTGATCGATGTCGTCAACGTGGTATCGAAGACCGCTGCTTTTACCATCCAGCGCCTCTCACCAGGCCGCGTGAAACTACCGATGAGTCAGGCACAGGCGAATCTCGTCCTCCCAAGAGAAAGTACGAACAGCCCGAGAGACCACTGTAGGTAACGATTTTGACTCCAGTAGGCGACCCCCAAAGCAAGCTTCGAATTCTGTTGTCGCCTTTGCGCCACCGTCTCCTGCGCAAGGTGACAAACTTGCAGATGCTGTTGCTGCCGACGTTTATCATCCTGGATTTCTTGGCCCTGGATCATACGCCGTTCTTCTTCCCCAAGATGAGGAACCTGGCCAACTACGGGAACGTGAAGAGTCCGTCGCGTCAGAAAGATCAGACCGCGAACTCACACATCAGCACACACTATCGAAATCTATGCGATACCAGATGGCATGTGACGTGTTGAGCACTTTTCGGCATTACAACTCGATCAAAGAGCTTGTTCTCTGGTACAACGCAAGCAACGAAGCAGGTGTGATACCTGCTCAGCTCCAAGTCGACGCCGTGAACGCGTTGGAAGCCGTTGTTGACAAGCATGACCTGCGACGCAAAGCGCCCAACTCCCAGCTTATAAGCCAAGTGCTCGAGACAACAGCTCGCCCTTTTACGATATCACAGTCGCTCGAAGCTGGAGACTTTCACACATTATGTTCAGGTGAAAATCTCCGGTTTGAGTTGATTGGCTTTCTATTAGCGACAGCTGGGAGGTCGCTTACATTCGGCTTCGTTCCTGATATTTTCAATGATCCTAATAACAAAGACATGAAGTCGCGCTTCGCCGATGAGCTTCTGCGCGCCAGTACAACCTGTCTTTTTCTTACGACGATGCTTGCGACTGTCAACGATTTGACAGTGTGGATGTACTATGAAAATTATTTATTCACCATCATGATGTGTGGGTATGCTGGTACGTAGGAGCACAGATCGTCATTTGGGAAGATAGGTCTGACATTACTCAGGTCCACCTGGATGGCGACGTATCGGCGAACTATCGACGCAGATATATGCATTGGGTATCCACCAGGAAAAGAAATGCGATCATGCACCGGAATGGCTGGCGGAAACACGTCGCAGAGTCTTCTGTTCGTCCTACAACCAGGACAAATCAATATCCACTTTTCTCGGTCGGCCGATTCGTATAAGCAAGAGGCATACTGACATCAAACTCCCCCTCGACCTAGCTGATAGCGAAGTGACCGGTGATCAGACGAGGCTAAATTCGGCTATAGCAGCGTTAGATACGGACGGCTGGAATACCAAAGGAAGGTGGTTGAGGGCATCCTGGATCGTAAGTCTTCCGATGACATAGTCCAGTTCTGACACTAACGAACCACAGCGCCTACGTCACATATCCCTACGGTTTCGTGAAGAAATTCTGGAGTTCTCGCTCGTCAAAATCGACGCGAGCGCTGAAGCCCAACTATTGTACGTTTCCCATAGCGACTACATCTTTGCTGTTACTCATAAGTCTGTAGAGACATATCCGAGCGTATACGCGCTTCCTGGGAAATGCTCCCAAAGCATATGCGCTATTGGAAGACGTGCTGGGAAGAAGAAATACCCTCGGTAGTCTGTCTAATGTTGTGCATTGTTCACCTGACACACTGGTACAACGAGTTCATGATCCAGAAGCTCCTCGACTACAGCCCTTTGACGCTCAACGCGGCTCTGTTGCGCGTTTCGGTTGATCTCCTCTCTAACACGCTGACTCTCGGTACGATACGTGACAGGTCATACGACGTTCACCGCGACATGCTGAATGCCTTGTTGCTGTTCGGCGTACCTGCGGCTTCGGTCCTAGCTAATGCATTGCGCGAGCAACATCGAACAGGCCAGCAGTTCCCCGCCGAGATTTCTCGCGCAGAAATCATTCGTATGCTGAGTGTACTTATCTCACACCTCGACGCTGCCGCACATATGGAGAATTCCGGAGCGAGACATGGCGAGGCAAATTACAACCTTTGTCGCAAAGCGAGCAAAATCTTCACGAAGGTCATAGATACAGTGTTGGATTCCAAGTTCGTGGAAGAGATCACGCCAGCGAGTGATCAGCAGACTTTGGACTTGGACCTTGATCTCTTCTCTGGCCCTGGGCTGGATGGCTTCGAGGGTATGGAGTTTCCAGGCCTGGGAATGGGACTTGGTACCAGCGGAATTGGAAACTTGACTGATGCTGCGGTTGACTGGGGTGCACTTGGCCAATGGAATGCTTTCGGTGGACCTGTATAGAGCCCTATACGCTCGCTAATATGCTAATATCACAATCTAGGATGATGTTGCTAATGTCCTATCCAACGCCTTATTGATATGAGAAACAATCCTTACTCAGACTCTACTGCATAAATTTCCCACCTCTACGCCTCCGCCGCGGCCGTCCTCTTGATGTTGGTGAATCTAAAACCGAAAGCTGCAAGGAATGCAGCACCGCCGAATGCGATACCGACAATCAAACATTCCCGGAAGCCAGACACGTAGGCCTCGAGAACCCCCTGCAAGAATTGTTCAGGAATAACTCTCTTGAGTTCTGAAGCACCAGCATCCAGGACGATCTGTGGATTAAGTCCAGGTGCCGTGATGGCGAGCTGCTTGAGGAGCGTGTTCTGGAACGCAGCTTGGGCAGACGAGACACCGAAAGCACCTCCAAGGGTCTGGATAACTACATTGGTTGTTAGCAATATGGGTGTAAACATGATGACGTGGAGAGCTTACATAGCAGTGTGGCTGTTGCTAATGGCACATCAGCATCCTTCGTCGTAGCCTGGATCAGCATGACAGGAACTTGAAAGCTGACTCCGACACCGATACCGCAAAGGATCTGGTAGCCGATCCACTTTCCGGCAGGCGAGTGGGTATCGAAAGTGTAGATCATACCGGAACCAATGGTAGTGATGGCAGCTCCCAGTATCATCCACGGATACGCGTACCCGGTCTTCGTGATGATCTGGCCGACAATCACGACGCAGAATGTGACAGCGAGAATGAAGGGTACCGTGCGGACACCACTCGTCGAAGCTGAGACGCCCTGTACAGACTGGAAGTAGATCGGCAAGTAGTAGAATGTGACCAAGAAGGCGGAGTTGATCAAGAACGAAAACATCGATCCGACCCAGATCGTCCTCCTCTTGATCATGACGCTATGAACCATAGCGTTCTCGCCAAGCCACCACTGTTCGATCACGAACAAGATCATGCATACGACGAACGCGACGAGAGTGCCAATGACGGCACCGCTGTCCCAAGCCTTCGAAACACCTCCCCATTGTAGAGCAAGAATGAAGCAGGTAATAGCGCCAACAATGAGGACAAGACCAAGCATATCGAGCTGACGAAGCATGCCACGCCAGTCGGGACGAGATTTGGGTGGTTCATTCGCGAAGAAGAGGAGGATGAAAAGGCATGATACACCACCTACGGGAAGGTTGATGTAAAAGCTGTGAGGGTGTTAGTGGGGTTAGAGATATATCCAGGGCTTCAACGTACCACCAGCGCCAGGATACATGGCTAGTGAATGCACCACCAATCAAGGGACCGACAACACTGGCAAGACCGTATGATGCACCCATCAGTCCACTGTATTTTGGTCTGTCTGCTGAAGGCACCAAAACGGCGATAATGGTGTACGAGCCGGAGAAGAGACCGGCGGCGCCAATACCGCATATCGCGCGACCGATGATCAGAGCTGTTGAGCTGGGGGCAGCACCGCAGATCACACTGCCCAGCTCGAAGAAAAAGATGGAAGTGAGATATGTCCACTTCAAAGGAAAAAAGGTGTACAGTCGTCCCCAGTGCGCGGTAGTCGCCGCGGTGGTGATGAAAAAGGCCGAACCATACCAACCGATGTCTTGAAGACTGTGGAACTCATCGGTGATCTTGGGTATAGCGGTTGAGATGATAGTCTACGCGTTCAGTTAGTCACCACGTTGAAGCTGGACAAGAAAGAGCCTGTTACTTACGAAGTCGAGGGAAGCCTGCAAGGATGATTAGTCAAAGTCTGTCTTCTACACGATTGTGGAGCTTGCTTACGAGGAAGATAGCCAAGACTAGTCCGACGAGCACAAGTACGAATCGCCCTTTACTCAACTGAATATGCGCTTCTTCTGCCTTTTCCTCCTCCGTATTGAGCGAGCCTTCGACGTTCTGGAGATCCTTCTCCGAGTCTGGTGGCGTAACGACACCTTCCTTCATGTTTGCAATATGGCTGTAAGCTGTTTGCAGGAATGAAGAATGGTGGTGGTGTTTGTGGTTGTGATGTTGCTCTCCGTTGTATGTTAATAGCCAAATAGTAGTCTTACCCGTGCCGTAGCGTCATGAACTCCTATACTTGGCTAAGCTTCGGGAAACGGGTACGGACGAAAATCAGCTATGCGAAAAGTGCTTGGTAGGTGTCGGGAAAGGGTGATTTTGGAGGCTCTGCGCGGATGTCCGACATGCGTGCTGCTCTCCACCAAAAGTAGTTTAGCTTGGTTCGGACGTCCGTGTTGGCAGGTGCAACTCAACAAACAAAGGCCTCGGAGTTTGTCAGCTGCGCTCGAAATGTTCGCGCTGACCGTATCAGGCTGATGGGTGTTTTCTCTCAGCTGTAGGAGCCGCAGTGAAGTTCCGCGGACGTCCTATTCACGTTGGTCCGGTCATTTCACTGATGCGTGTGATCAGCTCGAAGCGCGCATCGCAGACAACATGTTTATAGTCCATGAAGCCTATTGTAATGTTCGACCCGTTGGTTTTCCAGAAATTATTGACGGAGCATGTATGATGGGTGCGCTTGCGTTGAAAATCTACCTGAAGTGCGCATAACCTGCAGGGAGTCGGTGTCAATTTTAGAACATGACAGATGCATCGCTACAACGTACGAACTTCAGGTGAGAGCACCATTGAAGATCGAAACATGCTCATGATTTTGAGTTTGCGTTCTACCGCCCAGCTTGAAAGATGTTTCGAGGGTCTGAGGCAACACAGATAAGCACAGAATTTAGCTATCATTCTGTGGGCTCGAGGATCAAGGTTGACGATGTCCATCGATATCACTGATGATAACTAGGAGTCACATGTATGAAACAAGCTGCTTTTATTCTTCGCAAGATCCACAGAGATATCTATAAGTCAAACTGCGGCCCGTGATAGGCATGCTCGCCCAAACCAAGGCATGAGAAGGTAGCAATGAATGACACTGGAGAAGTAATGCACCGATGTCGTGTTAACAGATGGATAAAGGATTGGAGAGAACGAGCGTACGTGATGTGATATGTTCAAGAGTACTAAGCGCGAGATGAATGCAGACTTTCAGGTGGTGAAGCGGATACTCGAACTTCTTTGGAGATTGGTTTAACACGGAAAAACTATGCTATTCTGTACTCAAAAATGAAACTACCCAAAAGAAAAGTGGCAAGGATATGGAACAAGCCTCATGGCATGATATGAAGGCGGTAATGTGTCACCACCCAAGGGTTTTAGACAAAGACCCACTCAGATTGCAAGATCAGGATGAGCTGCCAATGCCTCCTCAAACATTGACACGAGTTTCTTCTCCTTGACCTCATTCCTTGGCTTGATGTCGAACACGAAAACCTCCGGTCGAGTGATGAGCAAGTCTGTCCACTCGAATGTGTGTACAGGGATGTCTGCATGTTGTTAATATGAAATTGATATGCTAAAGAGCGCGATACGTACCAATACCAATCTTGTTCTTCTTCTTTGTGACATCAAATGCCCAGGCCAGGGAACCCATGATAGTGACCAACTGGTAGTCTACAATCTCCATGCCGAGACAGTTGCGACGACCATAACCAAAAACGTGATGGTTGATGACGTTGGGGTACTTTGTAAGGGGTTCCTTGTAGGTAGGGTACTTTGGGTTCAGGTACCGATCAGGGTTGAATTCCTCTGGGTTGGGGTACATAGACTCATCACTTCGACGCGCCCACTCGGTGGGGTGAATTAGCGCACCTTTGGGAATGAAGTATCCGTCGTACACATCGTCCCTCTCGGCCTCGTGGGGTACACCAGTGGGGACTGGGGGCCTCCAGCGGATTAGCTCTTTGCCGATCGCCCTTAGTACCGGAAGCTTCGGTGCGTCGGCCCATGTGGGCAGACGGTCGGGGCCGCAGACTTCGTCAATTTCTTGTTGTAGTCGCTTTTGCCATTGAGGGTAGTGGCACATGGCGAGGAAGTACGTCTGGATGGGCGAGGACATAGGCAGCGATGCTGTGATCGCAAGCATACCAACTGCGAATGCACCTTCCTTGTCATCTGGAACGCCGCTGGGGAACTTCAAACGCGTCTGCTCCTTGAGAAACGTGCGAGACCAAGAATGTCCATCCATACCAGCATTCATCTTGGCTTTGACAGCTTGCATCGCACCAACCCAGAATTCTCTTTGTTTATCGTGGCGGGCCTTCTCTCTCCAGTACCATGGGTTGATAGCATTCGGCAACTTCTGGACCACGGGAAATCTGTTCGGCAATTGACCCGCTGGAGAGATGGCCGAGAGTAGACCGGCGGAGCTCTGGTTCAGACCGCGACTCAGGGTAGGGTCTTCCCATGCGAGACGAGCACTCACTCTATGGGTGAACTCCTCAGCCAAGTCAGGGTAGTTACGGTTGTCCTTCATCAACATGTACATCATCCGTGTGATCTCCAGATGTGTGAATCCAAACATATCGAAGTTATAGGTCTCAGCGAGACATTGGTGAGCGAACTTGCGGTGTCTCGTAAGTGCCTCATTGTTGTCCAGAAGGGGGAGATATTCCGCATCGACTTTGGCGCCTGGAATATTGGGTGTAGGCGCACGGTTCGAGTAGTGTGCTCCACGCTTTGCAAGAATATCTTGGGCCATCTTCTCGCTGTTAATGCGGATGTGGGTCACTCCAAAGAGAGTAAACTGGTAGATTGGACCATATTGTTCGTGCTGCGCAAGCGTTAGCTGGGCCATGGATAGGACTGGATAACGTCATACCCATTCAGCAAACTTCTTGTAGACATGCTGAGAAGGAAACTTGTGGATAGGTCCGATCCATGGCAAACCTTCGTGTCAATGTTAGCAAGTCTGCTGGCATTAGGCTAGGAGAACTAACCTTTCGGACCCGGCAGTGGTTTGTAGTTGCCCTTCTTTGGGTCGTTCCTCAGAAGGCGAACGGCAAACACAAGAACGGCACCGATGATACTAAAGGCAATGCTAGGGACGAAGAGAGAAAGCATAGCCTGTGAGGCTGATTGAACACTTCCTTGTATCATGATTGCCAAATTAAAACGAAAGACAACTTGATGAGGTAGTGAACTGATACGAATCTGTGGTCAGTCCAGAGCGCTTTTAACTATCATGCTCTTCTGCTCCAGGCCTTCCAGTCAACTTCACTATGGTACCAACTCCGGATTGGCATCTCTCTATCGAACACATCCTCTCGGACCGTTCCCGGCGTCTTGTCTCCAGGCATGTTCGCGATGCCCGGAAGCTCGTCCTAACGGTGCTGCAACTACCGACGACCGATCGGATACATCAAACGGTGGTGGAGAGCCGTGATACAGTCAGGCGCGGAGTTGCCGTATATCGTGGTAGTCTCATTTCATAGTCGCCGTGATGGTGGTCAGGGGTTGGGGATCGATGTGCCGCTCCCAAGTTCGGCTCAAGTAGGCTAGAACGACACGTGCGACCCCCGCGCTACCAGTCTTGGCCAACTCCAAAGCTCGCAACCTCGGGATGCCTTACACTTTCCATCGACCTGCAGCACAATGCATCAGCTCTCAGCTCCCGTATATCGACATTAGCACCTTCATTCCTTCGATCATTCGGATATCTACTAGATCGTAATCTATAATGGTCACCAATGATTCGCTTCTGATGAGAGCGCGGTACTCCGCCGGCCAGTCAGCAGTAGCATCGCCGAGCACTATTCCAAGAATGGGGAGCGCGATCGTGAAGTACCATACTGACGGACATCCGTCTTACTCTGGTTCCAGACTGCACATAGACTCATTCGCGTAGCGCGTACTTCCATGTCTTGAAATACGACCCAGGCACGGGAGAGTAGGCAAATGCAAGCTGCGTATTGCCCTGACGGTTAACCCGGTACCCACTCCACTGGCGTTGAGAACGGTTGCCTGCATGAACTGCGCATGATAGGTTGCATTAGTGTAAGACCTAGGTCTAAGACACTATCAGTGGCTCAAGCTTCGAGGCAGAATATGGCTCGAGTCTGTCACTACGGCCCTTCTTTGCCATGGATGTTTCGGAAATGGCTTCGTGGAGGCGTCGTGGCTGAGGAGTTGGTCCTCTATCGTCTCAGTATCTATTATTGCCATCTCTAGGAGATGGCCCGAAGGACGGCCTGAGCTGGAGTCGTGAACAGCTTATAAACCAGATGCACCACGTTGTGTAGTGATACTATCGTTGCTTCATTCATCCTTGTTACACCTGCATTGCATTGCTAGCGGCTAATTGTACCATTCCGTCGTTATGGCATTCTTGGCATCATTCGTTCTGGTCGCATCTGTCCTTACACAACAAGCAGTTGCAGTCACCTCACAGCAGATCCTAACCGACTTGTCATCCACTCTTTCTACCGGATCGGAAGTCATCGCTACCACCGATGCTTCTTATCCAACCGATTTTACGCAACGTTGGAGCATCTACTCTAAAGCTGAACCAGCTTACACCGTTGCCGCCAAACCTGCGACAGCGGGAGATGTACAGAAGATCTTGCAGTATGCGTCCAAGAACAAGGTCTCTCTCTTGGCAACAGGCGGTGGCCACGGTTACACTACCACTCTTGGTGGTCTAAAGAATGCACTCAATGTTGATTTGAGTAACTTTAAGAAAGTTGAAGTTGATGCTTCCGCCAACACCATGGTCATTGGAGCGGCTACTACGTTTGCTGATATGTACGATCCCCTGTATGCGGCTGGCAAGATGATGCGTAAGTCCCCGATTGGTCTGAAAGGCCCCCACGTATACTGACAGAACCTCCAGCATCCGGTGGGTCTTCCACACCAAGTATCATCGGCGTCACTTTGGGTGGGGGTATTGGACCCTTGACCGGCGAACACGGACTTCTAATTGACTCCTTGCTCTCCGTGGAAATGGTAACCGGATCAGGCCAAATTCTAACGGCGTCGGCTACTGAGAACTCCGACCTCTTCTGGGGCATGCGAGGTGCAGGCGTCAACTTCGGCGTGGTCACATCAGCGACCTA